GGAGTGGCCTAAATGAGTTTCAGAGGACTCAGGCACTGTCCTATCTCCCAGGGTTGTCTCTGAAACCTGAAGGGGGCCCTTCATACCTGAATGCACAGCATCAGGGGTTACCCGGTAGCTCTGAGTGGGAGATCGAGGGGAAAGGCTGTGGCTGTGTGTGGGAGAGCCCGGCCCACTCTCCCTGACGACAAGGAGCGGTTAAGGGAAGACAGGCTGCGACTGGTATGGAGGAGGGACGCCTGCTTGGTGATCTTCCGGAACAAGGAGCTCCTTTTTCTGCTGCAGAGACAAGAGTCAAAGGCTGTCTGAGCTGGCGCAACAGCACAGTATACACTAGGGCTAGGGCATGGATCCCCAGCTAACACTTGGGTGGCTCAGAGCAGACCCCTGGGCTAAGTTGGCTCACCTTTCTTGTCCATCCTTGCCTCGGCTCCGCTTGCTCCTTCGGGCCATCTTGGCCTTGTAGCTGCCCTTCCGAGCTGGCCCCACTTTAATAGAGGTGTTCTCCAGAGGAGTTGTTGAAATAGATACTTTGTTTCCACTCTGGGAAACAGACCATGAAATGAGTCTTGGCTAAGGCAGTTACCTTGTTCTCACTCCTACCGCTACCCCTGCCCATGGTTGCAGCACAGCTTTAGCTTTGTCCTTGCATCAACGTTTCTGAACCACAGATTAGGAAATGACTCCAACTGAAGCCTGAGTGGTTTGGGGATGGGAAAGTAGCGAAGAGGCTCACCTGTCTTGTTCTCTAGTCCTATACCCAAGGATCCCTGGGTCAGTGAGGGTGCTACCTTCCAGTGAAACCCCACTGCTGTGGTTACACCCAAGTTTGGGTTTGTGTCTGTTTTTAGTGTGCAGTGTCTGTGCCCCACTCTCCCAACACCCCTCTGGCCACTCAGAGACTCACAAGGCTGGGTCTTGGAGGGACCAGAGTAGGCAGTATACCCAGTACTAACCTTCAAGATCAGCTCCACACACTTCTGTGTGCACCAGCCCATGCACAGGCTCACCATTGACATGAGTGATGAGGTCACCCTGGCGAAGCCCCGCCTCACTGGCTGGACCTCCATCTTCCACGTGCTGCCCCAGGGAGAGAACAGTCCTCAGCCTGGAGTCTGAGCATGAAGTAGGGGGCCTGATTCTGCTCAAGTTGTGTCCTCCCCACCCCTCCCCAGTGTGGGCAGGGACACGTAGGCCTTAGTACCCGGAAGGCAGAGAAGAGATAAAAGTGGGAGCCAACAGAGATGGTGGCCAGACATACCCACACCATGTGGTGCACAGTGTAGACATCCGAGTCACCCATGTAGACACGGATGGCCCGCAGAGTGAAGCCATACTTTTTGCCAGCTCGATGGATGATGATGGGTGGTCTTGAGCTGCTGAGGGCTGGCAAGAAGTCCCTGCTTGGAGAAGAGTCCCTGGATGATGGGTTCGATGACTGGGAATGTGGGGACATGGGGCTGGCCAATGGAGAGCAGGTGTGGTGTTCTGGGAAGGACAAGCTAGGACTTAGTGGTCAGAATGCTGGCCTGGCCCATGCTCCCAACCCAGGCCCCTGCCTAAGGTGTTGATTCCAGGATAGCTCTATTTACCGAGAGATCCTGAGCCCAGGTTATGTTTCCCCTACAGCTTCTAGTTTTGTTTTGTTTTGTTTCCATTTTAAAAGGTTTATTAGGAAAAGGAGAAAGAAAAAGAGAGAAATCTGCATAGTCACAGGTGGGCAGGAGAGCTGCTCCCCTACATGTTCTAAGCCCTCTTGTGTGCCCAGACCCTCTCAGACCCCAGAGATGGAGGTGATAGGGGATGGCTGATACCATTTACTGAATGTTTTACTCATACATATCAGGGATAAGGTCTTTGTATGTATTTAAATGTCACAGTTAGCCTAGGAGTGACTACTATTAATATTCCCCATTTTTTGATGAGGAACTTGAGACTCGGAGGGATTAAGCAATGTCTCCAAGGTTAAAAGTCATTTAGCGAAAGAGCCATGATTTGAATATAAGCTCTCTGTCTCAGCTGACCTCTCTCTCCCACACACAACCCCAACACCAGAGCGTAACTTTAGAGACGCTAGATTATAACAAAGGAGCAGTAGTGAAACACAGCCCCTCAACACACCATGCAGATGCACCTGCCAGACCCACAGAGCTTCCAACACCCTTCTGTGAATTTTATCCTAGTTCCCTGGGGACCTCACCTGAAGGGATGAGGAGAGACAGGGTTGTGGCTGAGGCGGACTTGATTACTTTGTTGATGGGGCGAGCCGACCGTTTTTCTAGAGAGTCCCCAGAGAGTAGCCGGTGGCGGCCCTGCGCACAGCCAGGTCACTGATGGCCTTGGCTGTGGCTCCCTCAGCCAGCTGCAGGGTTCCACGTCCTCCTTGTGACTCCATAGCTGTAGACCCAAGTGAGCAATGAGACCTGCACTGCAGCTGAGTCTCCCTCCCTGTCTCCCTGCAGTATCCTCGAGTCTAGGCCCTCTGGCCACCTGCTATGCCACACCTGGACTAGAACCATTGTTCTGGCCAACAGGCTCTTCATCCAGCTTTAGCCGCTGCTCCACGGGTCGTTCAGGGACAGGTCCAGATACTCCCTCCCCAGACAGGGGTGTGAGAAATCCTGTACCCTCCTGCTGCTGTCTCCTGGGGGTGCTGCTAGCCTCATCAGGGCCCTCGGAGAAGCGAGGCACATCCAGGAGACCTGAGCGCGTCGCACTGTCAGTGGAGGGCTTGAGTCACTCTCTGTATGGGACGACTCAGACACCGACAGCCGCTTTCGCAATCTGCAAGACACACGGCCTTGGGTGAGATGACCCAGGCAGTCTCCCTCCTCCAGCCCAGGCTTCCTCAGGGGCTAACAAGAGTTCTAAATCCCAGAACTTTTCAGATATTCCTCTAGGAGCTTGTTGGGCCCCTTGTTGGGTGTCCCCGAGTGGCCTGGTGCTAAGTCTCAGTGCTATCACCACTGTGGTCTGAGTTCAATGCCCCAGATGGCACAGCAGACCTCCCCTGTCTTGCCCGCTGCTCCCCTCAGCAGTGTATATCAGTAGATCTGCCTGTTCTGCTCCCCACTCTGTCTCTGGTGAATCCTCTCACTCCCACCTACATACCAGTTCTTCTATGCATAAATAATTAAAAAAAAAATAACTAAAAGCCCCTTGCTGCCACTAGTACTCCTCCCTAACAGCCAACTCTCGCCCATGATCTGTGACAACTGATGGTTGGTGTGTGGGCCACCATGGGTGAGCTCTGGGTGCTCACATCTCAGGAGAGCCAATCACCCAGCTCCGGTCTCGGCCCTTCAGTCCTGCCAGGCCATCTGATCGGTCCTCCTTCTCCTCACTCAGGCTGCGCTTGGTGGGAGGTGGTGTCCGGCGTTCCTCCAGCAGAGAGAGTCGCTCCATGCTACTGTACACCTGTGGGCACAGAAGATGTGCTGGGATGAGCTCCAACAACCACACTTCCCAAGGAGCAAAAAGTATTCTTGGGCCTCCCCGGTGGCGCAGCGGTTGAGCGCTGGGTTGCGAAGCTGCCCGCGGCCTCTGCAGCACCGGTTCGATCCCCGGCTGCTCCCCGGCCACCGGAGGAGGGTCCCACATGGCGCGCAGAGACCTCTCCTGCCGCCCGCTGCTCCCCTCAGCAGTGTACTTCGGTCCTTCTGCCTGCTCTGCTCCCCGCTCTGGCTCTGGTGAATTCTCTCACCCTCCCGCGCTTCTGACTGTACCCAGTGCTTGTATAAACAAACAAACAAATAAATAAAATAAAACATGCCTCTATAAAAAAAAAAAAAAGTATTCTTGACACCTGAGATCTAGAAACAACACACACACACACACACACACACAGCAGCTGAACATTCGAAGCAACAGCTATTCCACTGGACTGACCCGAGCTCACCCTAGCATTCCCTACGTCAGGGCTTGCAGTGGTTCTAGAAGCACCTGTCATATATAAGCCCAGTCCTTTCCTCCTCTTTTCCTAGGGCAGTCCCATTACCATCTGCCCCAGACACATCTCTCCCCACCCCTCTAGTCTGTTTTGCCTAGTCCAGGCCTCTAAGTCGTACCTTGCTGAACCTTGGAGAGCAGGAAGAGAACTGACGGATCTCAAGGTAGCCATCCTCACTCACTTCCTCCTCATCCTCCGAGTCTATGTGGTGGTATCTCTCCGAGCGGGCTGAGTCAGACAAACAGGACAATCCCCTGCAGAGGTTGCTGGGGGTGGTCTCTTTTGACCCTACCAGACCTCAGCAGGGCCTGTAGAAGTTGCTCCCAATGTCAAGTTTAGGGAACACATTTATTTCTGGACCAACAGGCAGGATCTCTGCACCACTCTCCCTTTCTTCCCTCCTCCCCGCCCTGGCCCCTTGGCCTTACTGTCAAAGTAGCTGGTATCATCCTCTGATTCCAGCTGGGGAATAAATTCAGCCTTCTGGCGAAGCAGTCCTGTCCAATCCAGACCCGTAAAGAATGGGTGCTGCTTCACCTCATAGGCGCCTCCTGTGGGCAGGGAAGGCATGGGCAAAGCTATGGAGTCCAGTCAGCAAATTCAGTGAGAACCCAAACCTTGAGAGGCTAGGCCTAGAGGCAGAGCTTCTAGTACCTTTCCTCTGCTGCCTACAGGGATCAGAGCACTTTCCGGATCCAGAGGACTGCCTACCTCAAGTCTGACCCTTCCAAGAGGTAAGACAAGTTAGTGGGGCCTGCCCTACCTGTACCCAGTCTCTCCAGAGGGTTCTGATGGAGCAGTTTAGAGGTGAGGTCCTGGGCATCTGGTGGCAGTGCATCATCCCCTTCAGGCCACACAATCTCATCTGGAGAGTCATGAGGGTAAGGAAAAGGAGGGAGATTAGAGAAGAGTCTCAGAAGTTGTGTATAAAGGAAAGGAGGCCAAATGGGCCCAGCCCAGAATTCCTGAAAGTCCAGCTTAGGATCCCAGTCTCTAAGTGCTACAGGTTCCTCTATCCCTTGGGGGACTTCACACACCCTAGACCATGGCTTGCTCTCTGATCCAGGGTAGGAACTGCAAAGCCATACTGCTGTGCTGAAGCTCCAGTTGACCTTGCCTTTATAGCCCAGACGTAGGTACACACACATACACAGAACTCACACTCACAGGACATGCATGTACACAACATAGCCACATGCATGCATACACGAGAGATACATGAACACGAGCAGAGCAAGTTCCAAGGAGACAGACAATGTGTTCATGAGCACACACAAGCTGCACCTAAGAGGCAAACCACACCAGTCATGCACACACATGAATCCAGAACAAGAACTCATAAGCCTCACAGGTAAACCATTTTGTGGATCCAGGCCGTGTCTCTGTGGGTCAGGGTGGTGGTACCTACCACTGATCACTTGTCCAAAGAGCTCCTCCGGAGTGTCTCCAAAGAAAGGGACGCAACCCACCAGGAACTCATACAGGATTATGCCCATGGCCCACCAGTCCACTGGCTTCCCATAGCCCTGTCGCAGGATCACCTCAGGCGCAATGTACTCCGGGGTCCCGCATACCTAGGTGCAGAGAAATCAGGCTGGCTTAGCATCTTGAGGCAGCTCATCAGCCTGACCTCTGGAGCAGAAAATCTATGAATGAAGACCCAGTTTACTTTAATGAGGTGAAGATCAATGGGATTTCCAGGGTACTAGTTAGAACTGCTGGAGTAAGTTTATGTATTTCCTAATTAGCCAAAACATCTAATTCTAATCTGGACTCACCACTCTCTGTTCCCCTTCCTTCTGTTATCTGATTCCCACTATTGGCCGGTCCTCCAGTCTCACACAGAACAGATCCTACCAGTTATATGACTAATATACGGACTTGTAAACAATCCCTATGTGATATGTCAAATCAGGGAATGTCCAGAGGCCATTCTCAGAGGCTGGGCCACAGTCTAACAAAAACTTAAAGCTATATTCTTAGACTCGGCGCCAGGAAAGCCTGTACTTGACGTAGGAAGGCTAAGTTGTTAAGCTCTGATCTCACATCAGTCTTTTGGAGTGTTGGCTGTTATAATACCTATTTTATAGCATGGCCCACTGTATCTTTCAAACATGCTCTCTCTCTCTCTCTCTCAATGCCTCCCTGGAGCCCAAAGGTGGAAATGAACTCCCAGTCTTTGTGTCTAGCTACAGGGTAAAGCATATGGCCCTGTCCTTATTCTGACGCCTGGAATCAACCCCCAAAGTCTCAACTGTCCTTCCTTACCTGCTTGTCCAGGAACTCCCGTGCATCCTTTTCAATGTGGCCCTCATACAAGTTTGTCGTCAGACTCATGAGGCCAATTTTAGAAAGGCCAAAGTCAGTGAGCTTGATGTGCCCCATGGATGTAATCAGAAGGCTGGGAAACCAGAGAAACAAGCCGTAAGTTATTTCCTGGTTTCCTATGGGTGCTGATTTTAGTATATGCTAAATTTTCTCATATAGGCATCCACAGGGTTACTATGGGGTATAAGCAGTATATCTTCAGCAGGGAGACAGGCAACCATAAAAGAATAAATAGCTCTGGCTTTGTGAGCACTGCATTCTGCATAAGCACTAACTTGCCATTCAGCCATTCCCCCAATTCATGTGTATTTACTCCCCTCAAATGTGTTCTATGATGGGAGCAGGTAACAGCCAGGTGAGGAACAGACTTTCCTCCACAGAGCAATCAGCCTCACCTGAGGGCATGAGCTATCCTCAGTGCCCTTCCCTGAACTTGGGTGACACCATACCTGACCTAGGAAGAGGGAAAAGGGGTACATAATCTTGTTGCATGTCCACTTCTGGTCTTATAAGGGGGGTTGCTTGGGAAACTAGACATAAGTCCTCACAGAGAATTGCCTCTTGTCCCTTCATATAACTCTACCTGAGTCATTTTCTTCTGTGTCAAAGGCTTCATTTGCTACCCATTTATTCTATGATTTCCACATCAGTATCTCTAGTCCTGACTTCTACGAGCTCCATGCCTACTAACTGCCCAGATATCTTACAGGTACCACAAACTCAACTTCCCAGACAAAGTCATGCCTCCTAAGTGGTTCCTCTTCTCAGTGAAAAGCAATTTCTACCCCCTGAGGTCTGTAATAAATGTTTTATTGATTGTTGATAAAATATTCTGGCTCCTGGAAGATCTTACATAGTACATAACAGAACAAAGGTAGCTATTATCACGCTGTTTTTTATTTGTTTGTTTGTTTGTTTGTTTGTTTGTTTGTTTAGAAGTGGGATACAGGCCAGATTCACAGGGTGGTGAGAAGATTCACCAGAGAGAGCAGGGAGCAGAACAGAACAGGCACATGTACCAAAACACACTGCTGAGGGGAGAAGCGGGCGAGACAGGAGAGGTCTGCCATGCCATGTGGGTGGCTCCCAGCCGGCCAGGAATTGAACTCACACTGCAAGGCTGAGGACAGCTTCACAGCACTGCACTCAACCCCCTGCGCTACCAGGGAGGCTCCTATCACCCTGGCTTTTTTTTTTAAAGAGGAAGAACATGAGGCTCAGGTTTAAATGACAGAATGGAATTCGCAGAGTTAAAGAGTGGCCATTTGAACTCAAGTCCATATGTCAGTACCACTTTCCACTACAAAGTCTTTATCACTGTGCACCAGTCCTAATCTGGAAACTTCTCTTTCCAAGCCCCACTTCTACCATATTGTTTCTTTTCTACTTCCCAACACTATCCCTTTGTTCACCATCCTGACTCCGTTCTGGTGCAGGCATTGTTGATTTTGGTCTGGTCTACAGTAATGGCCTCCTTGTCTTTTTCACTGGCAATTATCTTCCTAATCAAAAACAAAATCTGAGCATGTTATTCAATCATACCTTTGGTTGATAAAGACACTCGAGGAATCTTTAAAACCTAAACTTAACAGGCCTCCCTGGTGGCACAAGGGGTTAAGCATCGCACAATGAAGCAATCCGCAGCCTCTGCAGCATGAGTTCGATCCCTGGCCAGCCAGGGAGAAACCACATGGTGAAGCAGACCTCTCCTGTTTCACCCGCTGCTCCCCTCAGCAGTGTATTTCAGTCAGTCTGCCTGTTCTGTTCCCCACTCTGTCTCTGGTGAATCCACTCACCCCCCACATCTCTGGCCTGTACCCCAGCTCTTGCATGCATAAATAAATAAATCTTAAAAAAAAAAAAAACCACCCTAAACTTAACAGAAAGACCCTTGGGGATCTAATTCCTGCCTATCTCTCTTGCCCACTCTTACTATTCTATTTACTATTCTCTAACAATAATCTCAGCATCAGCCATCTGGTACTATTTGTAGTGCTGGAGTGGGACACATTCTCTCATGCTGCTGTGCCTTTGCAAATATTGCTCCCCAGTTTTACAAAGCTTTGCTCACCCCTTTCCACCTCATGGCTTTGGAGAACAGCCTATACACAGATATTTCTGATTCCCATTTTAGACTTAAGATCTTCAGGGTAGGGGCCATAGAGTAGGGACTATATTTATAGCCCAGAACACAGTGCTTGACACAGAGTAGATGTCAGTAAATGTTGGGATACATCTGCTAGATGTGCTATTTTGCTCCTGCTTGACTTCTTGAGCAGTGATACTGACTCTTACGTGTCACCCAAGCCTTACAATGTCCTTGTCAGATCTTGTTGGCAATGGTCTTTGCATGGGGTTGTCAGGAAGTACTGGGCCTAGATGGACACCTACATGAGCACTGTGTCCTAGCAGCCATTCTGGGATAGTGTTGACATGCAGTGCCTGTCTCCATTTATCTAGAGATACAAAAGAAAGACCTCGGATATGGGAACCAGATAGTGTGCGTACTTGTCAGGCTTGAGGTCACGGTGCACGATGCCGTAGTTGTGTAAGTACTCCAGGGCTAGCATAGTTTCTGCAAAGTACAGACGCACCATGTCCACAGGCAGAGCCCCAATATTCTTCAGCAGAGTGGCACAGTCTCCTCCTGCAACAAGCCCAGGCCATCATGAAGGAGTGATCCAGTTCCCTACTCTAGATGGTCTCAGGCTTATAGTCTCTGAGGTGCCTATCTCTGAGGAGATAGCCTCACAGAATACCCTTGTGCCAGAGCCTATGATTCATTAGTTCCTTGCCGCTGGCATAGGTGGGATACAGTGTGGAGGGAAGTAGGACATAAGGTGAATCTGCCAATGGCTTTTGAGGCCAGAGAGGTAAAGATCCCAACTCTCCATATCTGTAAGCTGACTTGTAGGAACAGGACTAAATTATTTTCAGATAGGAATCCTACATCCAACCCTGGGCTTCTGTGGTTCTGCTGCCTCCTTTGTTCCTGCCTGAGGCACCGGTGGTGTGTACAGGACTCTACGGCTGATGAGCTGATACTTCCTATCCCAGAGTGGCTCTCACTGCATCTGACAGGGGCAGTTTCATGGCAGCTAATATTCTAGAAGCCCTTGTGAAGGGCAAAAAGTCTTGTGCCCACCGAGGCAAAAATGGTCTCCAAACTCCTAAGGCAGAAACCAATGCCAAAGAGAGACTGGGAAGCTGGGCCCTGAAACTTCACCCCATATACCATGCTGTTGATTCAAACTCAGTGCTGAATCTCGGATTGTAACTTGGCCTCCACACCAGGCCACCTTTTCCCCCAATACCTTCCACATACTCCATCACCATGCACAGGTGGCGCTTGGTCTCAAAGGAGCAGAACATGCTGACCACAAAAGGGTTCTCGGCAAAAGTAAGTATGTCGCGCTCCACGAAGGCCTGCTGGATTTGGTTCCGTAAGATCAGGTTCTGCTTGTTGATCTTCTTCATGGCAAAGCGCTGCCGGGTGGACTTGTGCCGCACCAGAAACACAGCCCTGGGAAACATAGCCCATCCCGTCCTCCCATAGGCTCTCAGTGCCAGAGCTGTGCACTCCACCACCCAGAGCCAGATGACCACACTGCCTCCTGTCATGCCTTACAAAAGCATCAAACAAAGCAACAGGGATATGTTTATCAGTGAGGACTGGGGCACACTGACTCTTCAATTCCTTAATATACCAAGCCCTGAGGACTCAGTTCAACCCTCCCCCAGAGCTCTGGAGAAGAGGGGTGCTATCAGGAGGAATGGGAATATTGCCTGGGAAAGGCACAATGTCAGATGTCAGAGGAAACTGAACTTTTGCTTCTCTGGGAGACTTCAGGGAGGGCGCAGGTCCATCCTGAAGCATCTGCTCCCGAGAGGATTGAGCATCATATATGTCTAGAAGGAAGAACCTAAGGACTGACAGTGCTAGTCCCAGCCAAATTTTGACCCCTGCCTTTACCCATAGGCGCCATTGCTGATAAGCTTAATGGTTTCGAAGTCCTCTTCAGAGGGTGTCTTTTTGGATGTCAGAGATGTCCCCCGGCCCTGGAAGGTAAGGGAAAAGGCAGGAGGTAGGCTTATGTTTGGGGAAGCAGTGGTTCCATCATCAGCTCAGTTTTTTACCTTGCTGCAGCTTCCTGCTCATTCTTCCCCAGGAGCTCAATGACTTCTCAGATTATGTAGGCAACCACCCACCCCCGAACCCCTCCTTCAAATATTCTCTGAAAGAGAATGCACAGCCTTTGCCTCATAGGGCCCAGACTCCAAGATTAGGGCAGGAGTTCACAGTCTTTACCTCAATGGAATCATCTGTCTCTGGGGTGTCAGGACTGTCATAGCTGCTCAACTGGGTCATTTCTAGAAACAAAGCAAGGATATAAGAAGAAATGGCAATAACAGGCAATGGCAGGTATCTCAGCAGTCCACTCATATCACATGATAGGTGCATGCAGGGTAGGCACTAATGCTTTGTGCACCAGATTGGGATGTAAATCCAGTCCTGTGGCTCTGTCCTCAGTGCAGTCAGTCACAACTTTTGGACCAGGAAATTAGCCAATTGATCTTGCCACTCCTGTTTCCAGACCCCAGTGCCATTCACAAGGTGAGGCAAAATTTATAGTTTCCCTCAAACTTTGGGACAATTCCTGAAAAACAGGGCCCAAACCTGGGTTATTAATACTCATCTTGGTAAGGACTGCTTTGTCAGATGGGGTTGGAAAGGAGGAAAGGCAGGAGCACAAAAAATATAGACCAGGACTGGAAGCCAGGGGCTTGGCATAATACCTGGAAGAATGGTGTTATCTTTTAAGCCCTCGGACCACCCCAAAGACACTTGTAAAATGAGGGGAGGCAAATAATGCAGAGAGGTGATCTATTTTGAAAATGAGATTGTGGTCTTTTGTTGTTTACCGCTTTTGATTTCAGGCTCTAAATTCAACCAATCGAGGCAATCAGAGGCAATCCAGATTGCGTCATGTTATGCAGATGATGAAAACAATTCCAAAGAAAGGGATGTTTTATGAGAGAATACACAGTTTCTCTTATAGCTTGAGAACCTGATTCTAAGTTGTGTCCATATCCAATCTAAGCCTCTTCTCCAAGTAGCTTCCCTGCTGCTAGACCTTGTTTGCTATGGGGCCTCTTTGCAGCCACCAAGCAGTATGCTCACCCTCTAGGGGATCCCGTGTGAGGCCCAGTTGGCTAACGATGTAGCGGGGAATGTCACATTTAATCCCTTGTCCCTCTTTGGCGTGGCCCTCAGCTGCTTCTAACAGGTGGTAGAACTCTTCAGGGTCAAACTCCTGTACCAGGGGAGAGAAGTAGTCAGCGGTGAGTGCTACAAGGGAAGGCAGCTGGTTTCTCTGGCTTTACAGTATATACCCAGAGTAGGATAGACAAGAAGACTTTCTCTTGGTGATGGGGCACCTCTTCCCCTTAATACCCAGAAACAACATGATTCAGGGATAAGAATGTCGACAAAGCTTACAGGTCACTTCTAAATTTGTCACACTAAGCAAATGCTGTCTTCCCAGCAATTGGGTTTCAACTGAGTTTAGTCTATCTCAACTGGTCCCAAGCCCTCTGCCTTCAGATGTCACTGTCAGGTATGTTCACACCCAACCCAGAGGACCAGTCCTGGCACACTCTCAACGATGGTTCCTAGCCCTGGTAGTACATGCATGTGTTCAGATACTTTCTGAGCACGTCTTGTGTGCTAGGACTAGGGGACCCATGTGGAACAGAGCATAGCAGTCCCTGTCTGCATGGAGCACATAATAATGAGGGATCCAAGTACTAAGTGCCCACCAAATGCTGCACTCTGGGCTAAACCCTAGCAGTACCTATGTAACCTCAGTGAGGAAAATAAGGCTCATAGAGGTATACTGATCTGTCCATGGTCACAGAGGTAGGAAGGAACAGAAAATCAGCATTCAATCCTAGTCCTGACTCCATGAAGCTGTTTAATTCTGGACTTCATGTTCCTGAGGGAGAGGCCCTTGGCTTGACCACAACCCCATCACTGCTGTTTTTTTCCCCTCTGGTCTTGTTACTTTAGAGAAGTATACCCCCATCTAATCTCAATATAATATAGCCAAACCTGGAAGTCCTTTTAATGTTTTATCCTTAGTTCCCATCTAGTCAGAGTGTCTACCTCATAAGTATCTATCTCCTCTTTTCTGTTCTCCTACCTCTGTTCTAGTTCAGGCAACTCCCATCTCACATGAACTGCTTTAAGTACCTCTGCACTTATTTCCCTGGCTCATCCTGCCCTCTCTTCCAATTCACTATCTATGCTGCAGTCAGAGTCATCTTTCCTAGAAGTAAATCTGATGGACTACTACTCAGAAATAAATAGGAACCAGTTAATGATACATGCAACACGTATGAATCTCAAAACAAAACAAAACATGCTGAATGAAAGAAGACATGTAATTTCTTTTATATGAAATTGTACAGAAGACTGACAATAAGTTGTTACCTGAGAGTGAGGGCAAAGTGGAGAGGGAAAACAGATTAACTCTTGCAAAGAGGTACAAGGGAAATATTTTTTCAACATAAACAACAAACCTTTATTCTAATTTTTAAAATTTTTTAATAATTTATTTTATATAATTCTTACATCATTTTTCATTTTTACACAATGTATGCATTTTCATTTTGGTTATATTCCCCATACAATTGCACCGCCCCTTATTTTGACCCTAATCCTTCCTCCTTATTTTGTCATAGTGTATTTTCCAGGTTTATCCCTCATCAATTTCTCAAAAGCACTCTGTACTCTCTCAAATGCCCCTTTTTATGCCCCATACCTGGCAAACTCATAATTATGCCTCAAAGCACCAATGAGCCTTATGTCCTCTGGGGAGTTTTCAAGGAGTAAAAGAGCCCTTCCTTCAAGTTCCTGTTATACCTTGTACTTAACTCAACCATCATATTTCTTGCAATATCACACATATTATTCACACCAAACCAAATCTAATTCCACTATAGAGGAAGCTTCTTAGGACCAGGGACAGTTTTATTCCTGTTGTATATCCAGTGTTTAGCATAAAGTAGGTACTCAGGAAAGTGTTGCTAAATGATTAAATGAAGGCGTCCCCTCAGGACCATTCGTTTTTCCTCACAGGAACTCCTTTGGTTCCCCAGTGCTTTCATATTCTATTTAAATAAGTACATTAGCAGCAGAAATGGAAGTAGCTTTGCTGTTTGTATGCTACTTCCTTTCCAGCTTCTACTCTCACTCTTCCAATCCCTTCACTGTCCCAGGGTCCACTCACCAGGCATTCCAGGAGACGAGCTGGGCGGGCAATGACAATCATCAACTTTTTCACCAGCTGCATCACAAAAGCCACTTCTGAGCTCTCTGAACGCTCATGAGCCTATAGAGAAGACAAAGGTTAGTTAAGTAATCCTATAGCCCATTGTGGTTGAGCTATTGCAATAATTCAGATGAAAAAGGCAAAGTCAAGGCAGTAAGTATGGCGAGGAATGGACAGATGGACCATTTCAGAGGTAGTTGACTGAGTAGGCTTGAGGTGTGAAAGAAGTGAATATAGAAGGTTAAATGCAATGTCAGTTTTAAGGACATTTCAGTAAACTCCAAAATGAAACAGGAAATACAAGAAGATAAACAGTTTGAGAATAAGTAAGGAAAATATTACATTGCTCTAAAGAGAAAAGGCAGGAAGATAGAAAAATTGTTTTCGACATGTAGAATTTCAGGTACCTTCACTAGATTCTTTCTTGGGTATTTGTTCAGCCCAAGAAGAAAATTTCTCTTTTTCATAGAAACTGCTCTGATTTAGAGAAGTCACATTTGTATTGTGTGGGTGCATCTTTCCTATCTCCAATAGATGACCAGTGGGTTACTTTCTTAGGGATTTGAAAATGGGTGGAAAGACAACTGTTAATGTCAGCGTTGCAAAACTGTATAATCTACTCTTTAGTGAAAAGGGATGGTGATATCCACCAAAGGGTAGAGAAAAACTGAAATCACAGGAGGAGGGTGAATACTTTCTGGGCTTTGCCCTTGGTCCTTTTCAAGGGTTGCTGGTATTCCTGTCTTCAATTCTTTGTCTCTTTATAATTAGTTTTCCTTTCCTGATCAAACTATTCTGAGTTGGCTTTCTATTACTTGAACCAAAAATACTAACCAATCGGGGGAAGTCAAAGTGGAGGGGCCCAATAAGCAGCTGGGAACAATGATCTGGAACTCAGCAGACATGGGTGGGAGGGAGTCATCAGTGTAGGTATGAAATCAGGGAGCAGATGAGGTTGACAAGGAAGAGTGTGAAGAGAAAGAGCAGAACAGACCCTCAGGATGGTCCACCTTGGAACTCCAGCATTTGAGGGATGGGCAGAGAAGGCACATGTGGAAAGGCATCACGATGGAGATAAAAGTGTCATGACAACTGGAGGTTGGGGGTGGGATGCAAGGAGAAGTACTCACTGTATAAAGTTGTGTAAAAGGGGGAAGAAACGTGAGTAATGAAAGAGCTCATAGGATTTGACAATTAGCCAATTAGTTACTTGGTGACTTTTGCCTGAAATAGTTTCGGTGAAACAGTGAGAAAGGAAAATAGAATGCAGAAGACTAAATAGAGAATAGGTTGAAAGAAAAACAGCACGAGGACCATTTAAAAAACTGGTTATGAAATGAAGAGAGAGAATGGAAAATATGGTGAAATCTTATTTATTTTTTTTAAACTTGGCCCAAATATCAACTCTGTGAAGCCTCATCGACATTCCTTGCTTCATGCTCTTATGCATGTGCACATGAACAAGAAGTAACTCCTCCCTTTTCTATGTCTCCTGGAGTCTGCTAATGCCATATGGTACTATCATATCACTTTTCAATTAGTTGGCTGTCTTCTATAGCTACACTGTAGGGTCTTGTGAGTGATGAGGCTGTGTCTTTTTTTTTCCTTCACATGTTAAGTCTAGCACAGTGCCTCTTACACAGCAGATGTCAATCAATGATGGTTGACTAAGTGTTCGTAAATGTATGATCTTATTTTGTGGAAAAAGACAAACCTGTGCTTGAGTTCTAGCACTGCTACTTAAGAGTTTCTTTGGACTAAGCCTCTTTAGGCTTCATCTACAGATTTAGGGAATAATAATAGTATCTTTCTATAGTGCTATTGTGAAGACTGAATTAAAATAATTAAAACCACTTCCAAATTTCTAACTTTTCAAATTTATCTACCAACTTTCTCCTGCAGGTAGCTTCACTCTCATCTTGCCATCTACTTTATCTGCAATTCCTGGGGTGAAAGATTTCCTTTACACATACTTAGAGAGACTGTTTATACTGGCTCCTAGGTCTAGTGAACTTCTACCTACTTATCAAAACTCAACTTTTCCCAAACTCTCCATGCAGTCTGCACATCCTCCTTTGTCTCAGAACTCACCTCTACTTAGTGTTCATCAATCATACTTACTATAGCAAACAAAAGAGATAACTCATACAGGATACTCAGTGTGGTGTTTGGCACACAGCATATACTTCAATAAAAAACAGTTGTAATTAAAGATATGTTTTTGGGTCTGTAGACCCAGGAAATAGCAAGTTTCTTGAGTTAGAAAGTGCTCTGAATGAGTTAGAACCTGCACTGAATATGTTTTTCTCACTGTACTGCCGGGGCCCAAGGAATTAGGAAAAAGATGAATGCATTGGCTACATATCCAGTACACTTCCTATAGCACCAAACGACCTACTCCCAGGGACAATGAGTCTGGTCAAATGCCTGAAGGTTTTGGGAAAGGCCCTGACTTTAGCATTTTATTTTTATTTTAATAGTTCTTTTTTAAAGATTTATTTATGCATACAAGAACTGGGGTACAGGCCGGAGGTATGGGGGGGGAGAGGATTCACCAGAGACAGAATGGGGAACAGAACAGGCAGGCTGACTGAAATACACCATTGAGGGGAGCAGTGGGTGAGCCAGGAGAGGTCTGCTGCGCCATGTGGGTAGCTCCCTGGCCAGGGATGGAACTTGTGCTGCAGAGGCAGATAGCTTCATAGGTTGCGTCCTAACCCCTTATGCCACCAGGGAGGCCCAACTTTAGCATTTTAGAAGATTAATTTTAGATGTACAAGCAAATTTGGAAGTTACCCTAAGTAGAACTTTATTTTTATTATTTTTTTTAAGATTTATTTATTTTTTTACATAAGAGCTGGGGTACAGGCCGGAGGCACGGGAGGGTAAGAGGATTCACGAGAGACAAGCAGGGAGGAGAACAGGCAGAAGACTGAAATACACTGCTGAGGGGAGCAGGGGCGCGACAGGAGAGGTCTGTCATGCCATGTGGGAATCTCCCTGGCCGGCTGGGAATCGAACCTGTGCTGTGGAGGCTGCAGACAGCTTCACAGTGCTGCGCTCAACCTGCTGTGCCACTGGGGAGGCCCTATTTATTTATTTATTTATTTATTTATTTAAAGATTTATTTATTTATACAAGCACTGGGTAGTCAGAAGCGCGGGAGGATGAGAGAAGTCACCAGAGCCAGAGGGGAGAGCAGAGCAGGCAGACTGACGAAGCACACTGCTGAGGGGAGCAGCAAGCAGCAGAAGAGGTTTGCACGCCATGTGGGACCCTAGCCTGGCGGCCAGGGATCGAATCAGCGCTGCAGAGGCTGCGGGCAGCTTCGCAACCCAGCACTCAACCGCTGCACCACCGGGGAGGCCCACCCTATTTATTTTTTTAAAGATTTACTTATTTATGCATACAAGAACCGGGGTATAGGTCAGATGTGTGGGAGGGTGAGAGGATTCACCAAAGACAGAGCAGGAAACAGAACAAGCAGACTGAAGAAATACACTGCTGAGGGGAGCAGTGGGTGAGACAGGAGAGGTCTGCCATACCATGTGGGTATCTCCCTGGCTGGCCAGGATCGCACCTGAGCTGCAGAGGCTGCAGACAGTGTCACAGCACTGCCCTCAACTGCCTGCGCCACCAGGGATACCCCCTAAGTGAAACTTTATAGACCTGATGCTGTGACCCCTTATTCCTACTCATTGTTGGAGAACTGTTAGAAAGTTATTCTTGAACAGAAAGACATGGCTGCTAGTGATTTTCATGGGACTTTAGCTTTCTCAGCTTCTATTTCTGCAATGTCTGAATTTAAGCATTCTGAAATTAGAAAAAAAAATTTGTAGAAGGAAGTACTTTTTCACCTATTAAAACCTTTCTCACTATACTCTCGTCCACTGGGCTAGTTTGCCTTCTAGGGGACAAGAACCATCTGCTGCCTATTATATATAAGAAATCTTCCAATATTTCACAGTAATAATCTAGAACCATTTTTTACATTCAACAGTTCCCTAAATTAAAAAAAAAATATTCCCTGTTCATGATTTCCAGACTAACATAATAAAGTTCTATTTGATCAGTAGCCCCAGGCTCTCAGCTCATCTGGTGCTACACCAGAGCAAGGTCATAGGTCTGAAAGTGAATAAAGGGTTCTGGACTGAGTCCTAGTGAGGAAGATAGAGCTCCTTGCCCAAAAACGTTATTGATGGCTTACTGGAGATTCATAGACAATCAAACACCAGAGCATGATTCAGTGACTAGGAACTCAGTGTATGATTTGATCTTGACTGCAGCTGGATAACTTTACCTGTCAAGCCTGTCAGAGACTTTTCATACTGGATAGGATCATGTATCTAACAGATGAACCCATAGGGCAAGTCTCAGCCTGCTTTCTCTTGGCTAAGGAGAAATGATATTACACCATAATTTCTATTGGAAGAGAGGCAACTACAGTCACTGGGTCCACTTTTTTGGCTTTCGTTTATAAATATCCCAGTCAAAGACTTATGAATACTACCGCTCTTGGAGTCTCTGGCAGAGTAATACATACTTGGATTGGATTTAGAAAAAGGATTACAGAATTGAGTTCTTTTGATATCAAGTAGGCTTCTCTTAGTAATGCAGAAGAGGAGGAACCCCATGCATCAGCACCATACTTGGGGGTGGGCCCTGCACATTGGTAAGGAGACCTGTGGTGGTGAGCAGGCTGAGAAGACTGGGATCACCACTAATGCCTTACTCCAATCTTAGGATTAATAATCCACTAACTATGTAGAGAATTCACCAGAGTCCCAGCATACGGACACTTACATCTTGCAGAAGTTTCTCTAAATTCTCTTGAAGTTCGTAGAAATAATGTGATGTAATGAGGCCACTCCGAGATTTATCCAGGCAATCTCGGGCCATCTCAATCACCTGATGTTGAATAAAGCTCAAGGCTCCATCTGCCAAAGGCAACACACTATCTGGAGTGTTGGAGGAAATGAATTCTGCTAGACGCTCTTCCATTTGTGCAGTGGCCTGGTAATAAAAACAGAAAAAGTTATACTTCCTTCTAGTTCCACCTCAGTTGGAGCTAAGCATGAAGGAAAAAGGCTCTGTGATCCTGGTTTCCTGATGTTCCATTTGCAAAACCTGGTAACTGAAGACCTGAAAAGATCACCTTTAAATCAAACCAAAACATTATAATCAAGGTCCCCTATCTTCTGGTCATGTCTATCTTTCCCACCTCTTAAAGGGCGTGTACTTTTGCTCTAAGGACACAGAATTGTTTGCTGTTTCCTCTTCCTTATTATGTTGTTCCATGCTTGATTATGTTATTCTCTGTGTGAGGCTTTTTCACCCTGCCAGGCCTGCCTGGCAATCTCCTATTACACCTCCTAATCTCAGTTTAGGCAGCATGTATCCTATAGGAAGTCTTTGATTCTTCCAGGCAAACTAGTGTTTCCTTTCCTCTGAGCTTTCAGTGGACCTCCCAACTGTATAAACTTAGTATATGGATGCAGCTGGTTTCTAAGCCTTTCTCTGGACTAGAAATTTTGGACTGGGAATTTCAAGTCAGATAGAGCTTGATTTATCTCAGGATTCTCTTACTTGACCTTAGGAACCAACTGAGCTAAGTGGTTATTCAGAAAATGTTTATTGGAGGTGTGAGCCTACCTGGATCCCTAGCAAAGCAGAATAGGGTTCTGGCTTAGAAGCTTATTGAAGCCCAAACACACACCAGTAAACAAGTTCCTACTGCCTATGTAGGACTTGGGCTTCATTTGTTTACTATCTGGTGGCAATTTCTGATTCCCAGGGTGAGTTTAGGCAGAAGTATGTGTGGTATATACATACATACACACCTATGGAATGTGTGTGCAGGAAGAGAGAAGAGAGAGAGAAGAGGGATGGGAAGGAATCAATACATTTTAACAGTTCACTTTACATGGATAACTTGGTGACATGCATATAAAACAACCATGCAATGCTAGAGTGACAATAAGATGACAAATATATAAGGAAGAGGAGGAAACATGTACAGAATAATAAATTTCTTTATAAAGGACAAAGCATAGCAAAAGACTTTCTTAGCTGTTTATTCTGTCTCTCCTCACTCCTCACTCTTATTCTCTAATGTTCACTTCAAGGCCAGAAAGCATAGAACAGGTTAAGCAGAGAAATAATGGGCAATACTAACTGCCTATTTACTATGTTCTGAGCACAGTTAGAAAGCTTAATGTTTATTAATCTTTACAAACTCCCTCTCATTATCCGAAATTACAAATAAGGCAAATGAAGCTTAGAGAAGTTAAATAATCTGTCCAGGGTCATATAGCTAGTAAATGGCAGAAGCAGTTTTGAACCCAGACTGTATGGTTCCAGAGTCTATGCTCTTCCTTACTGCTTGCCTCACTGTGTATGTCAAGAGGGAAGACAAGAGCTTCACACCATTTCCTAAGCCACCCAGGTGTGTCTAGGAGATTGTACCTGAGTCTAGAGAAAGTATACTCCCAGAGGAGCAGGGGGCTACAAACCACATACTCTAGATAAACAGGTAGCCTAAGGGAGGTCTGGGTAGAGGATGAAGAAATGCTTGAGAACTTCATGCTTGATTATGCCTATGTCAGTCAGTCCTCTAGTTCTCAGACAGAGCTGCTATGTTCTGCAGGAATAGGACCTATCATTAAAAGGCCTAGTCAGAGTGTACAGGGGTGTGGTGTTCAAAACAAATGCAAATAAGGTGCTAGTTTCACATACAAACAGAGTCATAGCCAAACTGCAGTTATGAAAACTTTCTCAGCTATCTCAGGATAGTAACCTACCATTCTCTCTCATCATATTCCTAAAAACACATATCCAAATGTAAGTAAACAACTCTGAGACCTCTCTCAACTTACCGTTGCCTCTCGCATATTACCTGCCAATCTAACATAGCCCTGTCTTTGCACTCTCTGGTTTCCAGCAATGAGGTACTACTTAAGAATCTGCATTGGACAAAGGTACTCTCAGAAGGCAACCTATTCTGGCAGACCCTGGCTTGCAGATCCTGATGTACATGGTTAGAAACATGGTCTCTAATTCTTTCCTTCCCATTACCATATGGGGGAGAGAACATCTTTCTGTTATTTCCCTCTAGATGGTTCTCCCATAGGGAGTTGAATAGAGGCTTTGAAAGGACAAGTCTCAAACCCACCATCTGCCTTCCTCTCAAATAGTCTGGAAGCCCCTGTGCTTGAGCCCTCTTCCTCGTGGATGCCGTTCTGTTCTTGATTACCTCTAGAGACAGAATTCAATCCCTTCACTGCATCTTTCCACCTCTTCTGTCTTGGGGCTGGCTGTAGGTAGTCATTATCAGGGCATTACCAGCTTCCTTTAAAATAGATCCTTACCTTAGGGAATCTTTCTTTGTATACATGATTCATCATTATTATTTCACTGTCAAAGGAAACTGGGGACCGTCCAGGACTAAATAAGAAAGAAAGAACTGTTACTTCAGTGCTATGGAACTACAGAGGAGAAAAAAATGGCCATCCCAAGAGCCCCTGCCCTCCCATTGTCTATTGTACCCCACACACTCCCACTTAACAAGTGCTGAGTTCTAGAGTCTTTCTTATTCCTAAAGTTGCTAGCACACCTGTTCTGCTCAAAATGATTTTACCTGAAGTTAGGCTACCTTTCTGTAAGAAGTCTGGCTTTCAAGAAGACCCCTGCCAAGGCCTTAGAAGGCCTGAAAAATATATCAACACTCAAGCCCACTGGTGCCTTTCCTAGGATGACCTCCCCCAAAACATGACTCTCTGGGTCTACTTCACTTTGGCCAGTGGGATTGAGTACAACCCAACATGTGTTAGGAATTAAATTAAATCAAACCACCACCAAAGGAAGACACCTTTTTCTAAACAAGCTGTAGTCAATGGGGTTAACTTGTCTTCTGATTAGGGGACGAATGAGGTCAATTCAGCTTGCAGTAAGTTATAACCTTGGGTCAATTCTTCCCCTTAGCCCATGTATGGTTACATCCCTATAAAGGATTTCAAAGTTTGAGCCACACAAGTGAATGAATATTTGGGTCCTACCCAGTTTGGTACCCCTGACATGTGATCCCAGCTGAGGGAGGTTCAGAACTATTCCTCTCTACCCTTCCTCCCTGAAGTGGGCTGTGGTCTGCCTGCTGATTCAGTGCATTTTACCAAATATTAAAGAGTAATACAGCAGGGATTACAATTTGCAACTACAAATGGCCTAGAAGGTACCCTTTAATCTGAGGGGGTTGCGATACAGGTAGACAATGGGGATCCACACTCTACTCTCATTTATATTTTTAATCCTTTACACTGCATTCCTAGTAATCATCTTCATCACTGGGTAAACCTGTACCAGTCTTTTGAGGTCTGGCTCAGCTCACTCCTGATGCCTTATGCTTGCAGTGCCAATATTACCTAAGGGGATTCTTCCTGGGAAGCACTGCTCCTCTGGAATCCAACCCTGAACATTCATTATTTTCCAGGAATCCTGGAAAATTGAGCTCAGACATTAAAACCATGCTCATTTTAATCTCTACCCTATCTTAACCTGGGATTTTGGCACATATTTAACCATAATGTCAAAGAGAAGAGCCAAATTATTAAGGGAATTCACAGTTAAATCAGCTATTAAGGTTTGTTTGGTTAGATGAGCACATGTGATTCAGGGAAATGAGATTCAGATGGGTATTTAATTTTGCCTCTTTAATGGGCTTCTTTCCCAAGTGGGTCACAAATGTCTTCACAACAACATTTTTAGCTGCCTGAGTTCATATACTCTTGGTCTCTGGGTTCTGCAGGTAGGTAACCATCAGAATTGACAGTATTACTGTGTTTTTACTGAATGGAGTCTAAAGTATATAACTATTGCCAACAACTTTCAAAGAAAAAAGAGAGCACCAACTAGACAGCATCTTCAGGTGCCTCTTGGGCTAGTAAATTGATCTGTATGTGACGGCAAAAAGGGCTTGAGCTTAGTTAGACCAGATTCATGCAAGTTGCGCCAATGTACTATGCCAGGGGTTGGCTACTAATAGCCCATAGACCAAATGTGTCCCACTGCCTGATTTTATAAATAAAGCTTATATAAAGTCTGTGGGTGTGTTCACACACTAAAATAGCAGTATGGAGCTGCCACAAAACCTAATTACTATCTTGCCCTTTATAGGATGTTTACAGTTTCTGATCCTATGCAAATAAACTGAGTTCCACATGTACTGTGACAATGGGCAGGGTGTACCCCTTACCTGAGGCTGCGGGAGCGGGGCCGCATGGCTGGAGACTGCCGGCCCTCCTCATCTGGTACACTCTCTGTGCTGAAATGCTCGGTCAAAAAATGCAGCTCATCGGCTGTAGGCTGGAAAGGCAACTGGTGTAGCTTTTCCTGTGAGGAGCACGAAGACTAGAAGGAAAAACATTTTAAAAATAGCCTTAAAGACCAGTCTGGGGCATTCCAGGAATGGAGAACTGAAATGGCCAGGACTTCCCAGTTAGGTGAATCCAAAGTCAACACAAAGCAGGTATCTCTCCCTTGCTCCCTTCAACCCTCACTGTGCTTGACTGCATTCACATCGACCCCCTTAGTGTTTTTCAGTCCTAAGGAAGTCAAGATTCAAGAGTCTTCATGAGTCTGTGGTGAACACAAACGAGGTGATCATGATCTGGTGCTGCAGGTCATCCATGTTCACTGACATGGCTCCAGTCAATACCAAATCCTGGGCTCAGCAGCCTTAACAAGCTGCTGCCTGCCACTTACTGCTCACACCACAAACAACAGCACAGGCCAGGCTGGGGTATCCCAACATTTAGAAGGCCATGAGCCATCCCTGTCAATTGGTCTGTGCAGCGTGGCCAGCTCCCAACTCTGTGCATTGTACAAGACGTTTGGTTAGAATCCAAAAGGTGGTATGTTTTAAAGTATCCAAATGAAATAAACTGGAGTAATTTGTTTAGTCTATTAAATTTACTGAACAGGAGTATATGTATGTGTGTTTAATAAAAGTACCTGTTTCAGTAAAGGATTATGGGGAATGGGGTATTTACCAGGGAACAATTTGAAGTTTAACAGCTGCCAAAAGACTAATGAGATCTATAGATTAATTTAAGAGTAATATCTAGGGCCAAGGGAGGGAATATGCTCCTTTTACCTACCTGGGATTCATGACTATAGACAAACTGAGCTGAGAAGATCTGGAGAATGGTGGAAGACATGTGGAATGAGTCATCTGATCTATGGCCTCATTTTACATGGCCTACAGAGCCTAAAATACTTACAAATGGGAGCTTTACAGAATAAGTTTGCCAACCTGTCAACCCGGCTTCAATTAAGAATCGCTTGACAGGAAGATTCATTTTAGGGTCAAATGTACGAAGTAGCAATTAAGACATCTATTGTATTTTAGGCTAAAACCTTTTCTAAAAGAAATCTAATTAAATATTTTAAAGATAGGTCCATCTCCTTTGCTGATATACATCAAATTTGGATGTCAAATTACAATCATTTTACCCTTCTTTCTTAAAAAGGTGAAGTGAGGAAGATCTACTAAGTCTCTGGGACATGGGAGCATTATCTGCTCTTGGTTATAGTTCTAGAAACAAGGTGAGGGGAGTAGGGGGACTGTGGTTAGGAACATCCATACCTAGCCTCATTGGCAAAGCAAAAGTTCATCCCCAAACCCTCTTCTGACTCCCCGAAGACTAATGGACACCCAGAATGCATGTCACTTTATTCTTTCCAATTGTTTAATGTTAGAGACTATGGCTGTTAAGGGCCCACAGCCCTCTGCCCCATTCAGACTCATCCTCAAGCAACCCGAGTTTACTAGTTCTGGAGGAAAAATAGAGAGCCACTTTGTAACATGGTAAGGGCCAAGAACTCATAGCGAACTACTTCTGTAGGGTGATGGAGGGAGTCACAGATGTGGCTACTTACTGAAACAGTAGAGCTAGGAGTGTTGGTTCCATAGCCCGAAGAAGGCAAAGAGGCCAAGACCAGCGCCGTCCATCAGTCCTATATAAGAGAAGAGTATTAGGCAATTTCTACTGTTCCCCACCTTGAGCCTAGCATCTAATTCCTTTTTCCTTTGTGTGGAGCAGTTGGTTTACTGGCAGGCTCTTCCTTGACTCAAGTCATCACTGCTTGTTCCAGTACGTGCTTTCACATCTCTCCTAAACTGGACCTTTTGTGTTTTCTCTACTGAAAGACAGCTGTCTCTGACTATAAAGGAGTCCACAAGTTTGAATAAGAACTTCTGTTATACAATATTGCAGAGTTTTGTAATAAAAATCTTTGTGTTCCCAAACACATTTATTCAAACAAGCAATGACACATATTTGAAGGGCATTATCACAAGGAGAAAACTGCCTGTGAAATGAAGTTATTTCCTTTTTTGAAGGCTCCAGGTGAAGGGTTCTTTGGTCTTCCCCAGGCCGCCAGGTTGACAACCAAATAGTAGACCACCATCTGAGGGTGGGTATGAATCAATCAATGGCAAATAATTAAAGGATACCTAGGATCCATTAAGACCTCTGAGGATGTTTGCCTGAGTGACAGTAATCTTATGAAAGAGTGAAGTGGCTTAGCCATGGCTATATATGGGATTTGGGGACAGGCATCCTGCTGTTTTTGAGAGGGTTCACGCTAAAGTTCTCATCATAGAGAACTACAGTTATTTACTTTGCTGTAGAGGAGAAAATATCAAGCAGATATCTGATCTGAAGCTTTTATAAGTGGACAAGTGATTCTTTCTTGGACTGTGGGAAATGCTCTAAATCATTGGGCTTGGGGGTATAGCCTACTCTGGTTGAAGTTGGAGGAAAATTTCTTTGCTGTTACTCACAGAACTTTAGAACATCAGCAATGGGGTATCCTTTAGAAGGTAAGTTCAATACTCTCAATTTTCAGAGAAATCTCAGATATCTGGATTATTTGTTCCAGGTTTCAGAATTTAAGGTATTGGGGAAAGGCAGGAAGAGATACAAGAAAAAAGAAGAACTAATCTTGCTAAGACTTCTTTTGAAGCATTCCTATCCACCCCCAACCCATACCTTCCAGCTGTCCTTACTATATTTGGTAAGGGGGCTGCCCAGGGTTCCATGCCACATGCAAAGAACTCAAACTTCATGCCACCTAGCCATCCAATACATGTAAATATCCCTGCTGGAATCTAGTCTCTGAAGCAAAGAAACATCGAGGATACCTGGATGTGATTTTCTCTTTTCGCTAGGTCAGGACACCACATCTGAAAGCAAGTTAGTTCCAGGAAACCAGAACTCAACAAAATGAGACCAGTCTAACTGAGGGATAGATTTCACAAATCCTTGTCAAACACATTTTTCCACTGGTGGTTTTTGCTCTTTTAGATAAAAATGGAAATCGATTATATGGCAGTTATTTCTCTGAAAGCCAAAATACAGGGGCCACCAGAGTCAGAAAACAGTGCCGCAATAGAATGTCTTAATTTCCTCTACCTCATCATCTCACTGGGCAATTGAATACAGTTGTGGGAATGAGGGTGACTTGTCTCTAGGCTAAGGAGCTTGGAACTATTCAGCAATTCCTGCTTCCAGTCATATGAGCTCTGAGCCTTGGTTCCAGCAGGTAGAGGGGGCTCCCTCAGGGCCTCTTTCCTAGACATGAAAGGCCAAATGTTTATACCCACAGTCAGAAGACTCATCACAATCACTTTTCACCAAGCACAAAAATCACAAAACATATCACCTGGCCATGCACAGAAGTTTCCCAGCCCTCTTCCTATTACATCCACGTTTACCTGTCTGCTCTGTGGCCATGGCTGTAGTGAAAAGATGTACATTACAGTGAGAAACAAAGGGAATCAGAAGAATAACTCTGATTCCTGATCTGTTTGTCCCCTGGCATTTGGTCCAACTTGGCCAAGGAAAACCTTTTTAAGAATGTGTGGAAGTTTTAAGTAAAATTGTGGGCTTAATGGATCTTTAGCGTTGCATTAAATCTCTTTTTTGTGTGCTATTCCAAACTAATATGATCATAATAAGATTCAAGGCTGACCTCAATAACCTCAGAAACACAATTCCTGAGTACCCTATTTGGCAGGGTTGAAGTTCTCTTTTCTACTGTCCTGTAAAGTGACAGCCCATGGTTCGATGTTCCCAGCACCGATCTATTTGGAGGTCAGTGGTAATAACCAGATTCTAAAAGCCCCATAGCTGGTCATAGTCCCTAAAAGAAGGGGATGAAGCAGAGACAAGGGCACCAATGTAACATGCTATATTCCCTCTGCCTGGCATGGTCTACACACTTATGTCCACACTCCCAACATGGCTGGCTCCTTCTTATTCTTCAGGTCTTAGCTTAAAAGTCAGTTCTTCAGAGACACGTTACATGAGCACCAGAGTATTTTCACCAGCTGCAGTGTCTTCCTATTCCTTCATGCAGCATCATGTTCTTTCCCTTTGTGGTGCTTAATCACCATTTATAAATATGTCTGTTTGCTTATTTATTATTTTTCTCCACCCTCATTCAATCAACAAGTACTAATAGAGTACTTATAATAGACCAGAAGACACAGTTTCCAGCACACTGAAATATCTGTTAAATGTGCTTTGACTCCAGATGGAGAAGACAGAAACAAGCAAGGAAGAAAATAGCAGGTATTAAAAAGCACAAAACTGGGCCTCCCCGGTGGCGCAGCGGTTAAGCGCTGGGTTGCGAGGCTACCTGCAGCCTCTGCAGCGCCGGTTCGATCCCCGGCTGCTCCCCGGCCACTGGAGGAGGGTCCTGCATGGCGCATAGACCTCTCCTGCCACCCGCTGCTCCCCTCAGCGGTGTACTTCGGTCCTTCTGCCTGCTCTGCTCCCTGCTCTGGCTCTGGTGAATTCTCTCGCCCTCACGCGCTTCTGACTGTGCCCAGTGCATGTATAAACAAACAAACAAATATATAGATAAAAATAAATCTTTAAAAAAATAAATAAAAAGCACAAAACTGGATGATTTGATAGAGAATGATGAACAGATTGTATGTTTAGGGAAGGCCTCTCCTAGGAGTTGACATATAAGATGAGATGAAAAAATGAGTTATCTGGGCCTCTCTGATGGCACAGCGGGTTGACTGCAGCACTGTGAAGCTGTCCACAGCCTCTGCAGTGAGGGTTTGATTCTCGGCCAGCCAGGGAGATACCCACATGGCACAGCAGACCTCTTCTGTCTTGCCCGCTGCTCCCCTCGAGAGTGTTTTCAGTCATCTGCCTGTTCTGCTCCCCACCCTTTCTCTGGTGAATTCTCTCACCTTCCCACACCTCTGTCCTGTACCCCAATTCTTGTATAAATAAATCTTTTTAAAAAAAAAGAAAAAAATGAGTTAACTGATATTAGCGAAGAATATTCCTCATGAAGGGAACCGAAAAATATACAAACTCTACTAATTCTTTAAGTTTCAAGAAAGTAGTATTTTGTAATGTAACCTTCAATTAGTTACATAACATAGGTGAGAGGAATCCACAGGACAAACTCAGATGGTATTTGGTTTACATACGGCAATTGGGTCAGGGGAGCACCCAAGTCTACCATCAAATTTCTCCTAACCTGCCCATGTCCTTTTCAGCTACAAAGAATCTTTGAGAGGAAGAGGGTGGATTACTTTTGGGTTCTCGTTTGATTATCGACTTAACGCTCTTTTCCAGGAATCTGCTCTTTTACTATTATCTCTTTTTAAAAAGTAGTATAAGTATAGATACTGCTCTGGCCTCAAGCTGTATATGTGATTCTCCAGCCATTACAAGTTCCAAAACCTGGAGCCATAACTTTTCTGGAGGCCTGAGATTGACTCTCACCAAGAAAAAATACTATAAATAAAAATAAACATAAAATCAAAGAACATTACCACTATCAAGAAAGTTTTTTTTAAGCGTTCTAAAAAGTAATTCATTTGTGCATGGCGCCTACATAAGTAGTTTGGATTAACTTAACGCAATCAGTTCAACACTTCTTCAGAGGACAGGTAATATCTTGGCAATGGGCTGAGCTGTCAGAATTTTTAAGAGATAAATTTGTATCCTTTCCAAAGAGTTGAAATAGGAGAAGGAGGGGCTTTCCTGGTGGCGCAAGGGGTTGAGTGCAGCGCTGTGAAGCTGTCCGCAGTCTCTGCAACATGAGTTCGATCCCCAGCCAGGGAGCTCTCATGGCACAGCAGACCTCTCCTGACTCGCCCGCTGCTCCCCTCAGCAGTGTACTTCGGTCTATCTGTCTGTTCCGTTCCCCGCTCTGTCTCTGGTGGATTCTCTCACCTCCCACACCTCTGGCCTGTTCCCCAGTTCTTGTAATCATAAATAAAAAAAATCTTAAAAAAAAAAAAAAACAGGGCAAGGAATATAAGCATGGTTCTGAAATACACTTCTTTCTAAATTCAAGAGAAAATAAATGAAAACTCATGGTCTCTTTATCTGCCCTCAGGGCCTCAGCTCAGAGTCAAGGAGCGAGGCCTATAAGGTCTGTTTTAGCTACTTGGAATTAGCTGATTTAGAGGAGTTAGAATATGGGTTCTCCAGGGAGGAGAGCTCATTTTCTCACTGATCACCCTAGGATAGTTTTCAGTTGAGAATATGCTTTGGAACATACCAAGGACTAGTGCTTAGGATTATAAAAATAAATCCACTTGTAATATCTACTTGCCCATTTGAAAGTGCACAAATACCTAGGATATCTAGAAAGCAGAACAAGATGATTATGACCTGGATAAGGAAATCAGGGAAGGGATTTTGATGGAGAGTAGCCCAAGGTCACACACTTGGAAGGGCAGTGACTTAAACAAGAAGCTGACATTTAACTGCCATTCATGCAAGCTGACATTTAACTGCCATTCATATTAGCCACAGAGAAGTTTTTCTATCAGCTTACCTACGGGCAGGAACAAAGGAAAAGTGAGCAGGTGCATTTGGAGAGAAATTTCGTGGGCTGTCCAAAGGACTGTTACCTGTAGATAGGAAAAGAAACCTTTTAAGAGATTTATTTATGAGGAGATCTGAGATGACCTCAGGGAAGAAATTTTCAACTAACAACAGCAATTAGCACATATGATTATTTTTTCAGGGCTATCATCGGTTTGTTTCTCTCTTTGTGAATTTTTGGGAGGTTTTCTCCCCTATTCCCAAGTTTCCTGTAACAACCTATTTTTCTCAGACATCTATTCTAAATTAAGGAGCAATTTGCCATTTTCCTGCCCTCCTATAAATACCCCAGGCTCCAATTTGACTACCCAACTTTCCAAAATCTTGAGGAACTCATTTTATGCAGATGGCACAGCCAAATGTGCAAACATTTCTCAATGGGCAAAAGTACTCCTGGTTCTAAAAGTCTCTTGCACATCTTTCTCTGCACACTGCATCCAGAAACACATGCACTTAAGGGAAACAATTCTCATGTGGAGACTTAGGACAGCAATGTTCCTAAACAGCAAGACCCCTAAATCTGCAAAGAATGCCCTGGCATTTTCTTGGAAATTCATTTCCATGTGCCATGAAACTGCCCAATTGTTTCCCTTATCTCTAAACAACAAGAATAGGACTTAATGTCTTTCTGTATTGATCCCTGAAACAATGCACCACCCACCATCCTACTTAGCATCTTTGTATCAATTATATAAAGGCACTGTCTTTGGGTGAACTATTGTGGAAGTGGTATTTTCAGCTTCTACTCATCTCCTTGACTACATGAAATGCACCACTTTATACAGTAGAGCTGCTCACAACCTAGAACTGATGCTGTGTTTTCCATGCTCTGTGGCTAGGGCTACCTCCTATGATCTCTTCCCATCTTCTGACTAACATAGTCCACCAAGATAAGAGAAAAGTGGTCTGGAGTAGTTTCCTTAGCCAGGGCTTAAAAGGATAAGGCCTCCTCAAAATTATCAAGGTCTTAAAAAAAAAACTCCATTCTTTTTAGATAGTGCCACCTCAAAGATTAATAAGTACCTTCAGTTAGTTTGATCCTTAACATGTAAAACTAGATGTCCTTTGTTGGTTCCCAAAATAACCCAGCAAAAGTCTCAAAGAAATCCCTAGACATGGGGATTCCTACAAACAATAACTGGCCTTCCAAAGAAAAGGTGTGAGTTATAGAATAAACACAAAGAATCTTCCAGGTGCTCACAGTAACACCAAGGATACACAGACTACACATCAAATTTTTCATTGGAGCTATATCTTTAAATTATAGAAAGAAAAACAAACCCTGCCAATCTAGAATTCTACACCGAGTTGCTGCATACAAAATTTGGCGGCAGCTATCTTTGGTTCTCAGGAATAAACTCCTAAATCCTTGGAATTTCCCAAGTGACAGGAGTTTGCTTGTTATTCATAGTGGGGCCTGACAGTTTATGAGAATGTGATGATGCAAGATAGGGACTGACTACACCAGAAAGACCAACCAAGTTATTAGAGGGTGGGGCTTTAAGCCAGCTGATATCAGCTGGACCTACAAGGAATCACGTAGCCAATGAGTCAACCAATCATGCTCAGATAATCCCAATAAACACTCTGAAAACCAAAATTACTAACTTTCTTGGTTAGTGATATTCTGCTTTCTGTTACACATCAACGTGCCAGGAAGGTAATCCATCTAAATTTAGTGTGGAGAAGAAGATACTGGCGGCTTCACACATAGGACCCTTCCAGACATCACTCTATGAGGCTCTTTTTTGGGAAGCTAGTTTTGACTTGTATCCATTTTGCTATAATAAAACTGTACTTGTAAGTATAGTGCTTTCCTGAGTTCTATGAGTCATTCTAGCAAATTACTAAACCTGAGGAGATAGGCAGAACCTCTGAATTTACATGCAGTTGGTGAGAATTATGGGTGACATGGGAATCCCCACACTGGCAGCTGGTGTCTAAAGTGATGAAAGTTTTGTAAAGACTCTGCCCATAAAGACTCTGCAAAATTTGGCCTAATTCATGCATGAACTTGATAAAAAGAGTTCTTCTTTCTCCACACCCTCTGCAGCACTTGCTGTTAGGAGTATCTTCCATGAGAGTCATTCTCATTGTGGTTATTTGACTTGCATCTTCCTTATTAAAATGACAAACATTTCCCAATGCATCTATTGGGCCTTTGGTTATACTCTTTCATGAACTGTCTGTTCATATTTGCTTCCCTTTTTATTAATTGGATTTTATTGTTGAGTAAGTTTTATGTATATCTTGGGTATTCAGCACTTGTTGATTGTATAACGTGTGAACATTTTCTCCCATTCAGTAAGATGTCTTTTTTGATCTACATATATTTTCTTTTCCTGTATAAAAGCTATTTAAGTTGAGGTAATCCCATTTGTTTATTTTTGCTTTCCCTTGCCCCAGATGTCCAAAAATATCTTTACCATTGATGTTATGAAACTTATCAGCAATGTTTTCTTCTATGTTTCACTGTAGCAGGTTTAGTGTATCTAATTCTTTAATCCACTTGGAATGTATTTTTGTACATGGAGTTAGAGTGATCCAACTTTGTTTTTTTACATATGACCATTGAGTTATTCTGGTATCATTTGTTTAAAAAATGCTCCTTCTATGTTCATGAATTAAGCATTTGTATATATATATATATATATATATATATATAATATATTTAGTGTTTATATATATATATATGTAAACATATTTCTGGGCTTTCAATTCTGTTTCACTGATTCACATGTCTATTTTAATCACAATACCATATTGTTTTAATTACTGTTGTTTAAAAGTATAGTTTAGGGGCCTCCCCTGGTGGCGCAGGCCATTGAGCGCAGCGCTGTGAAGCTGTCTACAGCCTCTGCAGCGCCGGTTCGATCCCGGCTGGCTGACGAGGGTCCCACATGGCGCAGCAGTCTCGCCCGCTGCTCCCCTCAGCAGTGTATTTCATCAGTCTGCCTGTTCTGTTCCCCGCTCTGTCTCTGGTGCACCCTCTCACCCTCCCGCGCATCTGGCCTGTACCCCGGGGTTCTTGTATAAAATAAATAAATCTAAAAAAAATTAAAAAAAATAAAAAATAAAAATAAAAATAAAAGTCAGGTAATGTGATGCCTTCATTTCCCTCTTGTTTTCTCAGGATTGCCTTAGTAACAGAGCCCAGATGGGCTCACTGGCAAATTAAACCAAACATTTAAGGAAGAAATTATACCCATACTCCACAATCTCTTTCAGGAGAAAGACAAAGGGTGTCATCCTATGAGGCCATCATCATTCTAATACCAAAACCAGGCAAAGACACTAAAAGAATACTATATACCAAAGTCTTTAATGAACCTAAATGTAAAAATCCTGGACAAAATATAAGCAAATAAAATTCAACAACATGTAAAAGGAATTATACACCATAACCAAGATTTATCCCCGGTATGCAAGGCTGATTCAACACCTGAATAGCAAGTACCATAATCCCATCATGTCAACAAGTTTTAAAAAAGCATGTTCAAATGATCTTATCAATAGGTGCAAAAACACATCTGACAAAATCTAAAGTCCATTAATAATAAAACTCTCAGCATATTTGGGGCAATTTCTCAACTTGATAAAGAACACCCATAAAAAACCTAAAGTTAACATCATAGTTGATGAAAAACACAGTTTTCCCCACTAAGATTAGGAAAATGGTAAGGCCTACCCTTCTTACCACTGCTTTTTCAATATCATACTGGAAAGTCCTAGTTAATGCAATAAAATAAAACATCTAAGACAGGGAATAAAAGGTATACAAATTGAGAAGAAATAAAACTGTCTTTGTTTACAGATGATATGATGAATGTAGAAAATCTAAAAGAATCAATAACAGAAAACTCTTGGAATAAGCAACAATAGCAGAGTTGCAGGATATAAGGTTTATGTACAAAGTTCAGTGCTTTACTATATATCAGCAATGATCAGGTGGAATTTGAAATTAAAAACACTGCCATTTACATTATGAAAAGCTTAGGTATAAATCTAACAAAATATGTGTAAGATCAGTGAGAAAAACTATAAAACTGTGAGGAAAGATATCAAAGAGGAACTAGAACAATGGAGACATAGTCAATGTTCATGAATATAACACTCAATATTGTCAAGATGACAGTTCTTCAATTTAATCCCATTCAAAATCCTAGCAAATTGTTTTGTAGATATTAAACTGATTCTAAAGTTTATATGGAGAGAAAAAAGACCCAGAAAATCCAACTCAACATTGAAGGAGAACAATCCAACTTTAAGACTTACTATATAAAGCTACTGCAATCTAGACAGTGTGGTATCAGAGAAAGAATAGACAAATAGGTTAATGGAACAGAACAGAGCCTGAAATAGACCCACATAAATACAGTCATCTGATCTTTGACAAGTTAGTAGACAATACAACAAAAAAAGACAATGTCCAACAAGTAGTATTAGAATAATTTAACAACCATACACCCAAAAAATGAACTCTAGATGGACCTTACACCCTTCACAAAAATTAACTAGATATGGGTCATAAACCTAAATACATATATAAAACTTCTACAAGATAACATAGGAGAATTCTTTTTTTTAACAGAGGAGAATTTTTGATGAACTTAGGTAAAGCAATGACTTTTTAGATAGGACCTCAAGGGCTTGATCAACTAATAACTTTTGCTATGTAAAAGACAATGTCAAGAGAATGAGAAAACAAATTACTGACTAGGAGAAAATATTTATAAGCGATATCTGATAAAGGGATGTTATCCGAAATATAAAAGAACATGTGAAATTCAACAATAAGAAACAAACAATATGACTAAAAGGTTGTTTTAAAAGACCTAAATAATCACCTAGTCAAAGAAAGTAATATGGATGGCAAATAAGCATATGAAAATATGTTCAACATCATGTTATTAGGGATAGGCAAATTGAAACACTGAGATACTACTATACACCTAATACAATGGCCAAATTCCAAAACACTGACAATACCAAAAGCTACTGAGAAAGAAGAACAGCAGGAACTAATACATTGCTGGAGGGAATGCAAAATGCTTAAGAAGACTAGCAGTTTCTTATAAAATTAAATATCTCTTACCATATGGTCCAGCAATCATGCTCCTTGGTATTTACACAAATGAGCTGAAACTTATGTCCACACAAAAATCCACACATGAAGGTTTATGTATCTTTATTCATAATTGCCATAACCAAGAGCCTTTAGCCCATGAGTGGATAAACAAACTGATACATCTAGACAATGGAATATTATTCAGCTGTCTAAAACTGAACTAAAAAGAAATGAGTTATCAAGCCATGAAAGTCCTGCATACTACTAAGTTTAAGAAGCCTTTCTGAAAAGACTACATATTGCATGATTCCAACGATATGACATTCTGGAAAAGGTAAAACTACAGAGAGTGAAAAGATAAGTGGTTGCAGGGGTTGTGGGGAGAGAGCGATGAACAGGTGGAATAGAGAGTATTAGAGGTAGAATAGAGTATTTTTAGAGCAATGAATCTATTTTGCATGAGACTACAAATGCAGATACCTTTGTAGGTGTGTATGTATACAAATATACTTAGTACTGTACTAGGTCTAAGTATTTAACATTAGTATTACTAAGTATTAAGTAATGGCGAATACATGTTATACTTTATCAAAATATCAAAGTGAGATTTTGCTTTAAAAGTCAGATATGTCTTCAATTCCCTTGTCACCCTGTGCCCTTCATGGTGTCCTCTAATGTGAACATTATTGCTGTTTTCTTGCTGCTTGGAAAAGCGCCATGTACGTATGGATCTGAGCCAAGGATCTGACGGTCTGAGCCAAGTCAAGTAAGACCCTTTCTCAAGGACAAAGGTCAATTTCAGAATCACCAGACTCTCAGGCCCTCAGACAACTACTACACATGCACCCTCACGTTCTCCCTCCAAAGACGGTAAGCTTTGAACCAGGAGACAAAACCCAGGTGAATGGAACAATCTAATTTGGCTTGATGCCAAAATGTTATGCTATTTTGGTACTCTTTTATCACTCAACAACGGCCAAGGTCCATGGCTAACCAAACCCAGACATCAAGCTCTAAAAAGCTTCTGGCTTCTATTGGTTTCAAGCCTGCTCCATTTCCACTACCTTGGGTTTGAAACTTCCATATAAATGGTGTTGCAATGAACAGTATAGCAGCGCAGCAACCCTGTTTCAGCAAACCTGAATTTCCTCCTATGGTTGTCCCGTGATGCAAAAAGCATCTAAGCCAAAATAAGAGGCTAACTCGAGTGAGGTCTTCTGTGTCATAATTTTTATATATTCCTCGCTCAGAGTCAAGTAAGTCAGTCCTTATATTGTTGAAGGAATCCATATTCCAGATGGAGCTAAGTCTGAATACATGAGATAATTTGCTTCAGTTCCAATATATGAAATCATTATCAATGTGAAGCAAATATTCCTCTCATTTTTGTCAACTCCTGTTCAAATAGAGGGAAAATTAGCAGAAGTCCCAGTGAGACAGAAATCTACCGCTGTAAGCCCTGATCCTTGGACATGGTAGGACAAAGTATTAATGAAAACCTTATCACATGGCCCAAAATAACTGGTGCATGCTTTCTATGGAAACCATGTTCTTGAACTCTATATGCTAAGTATAGTAAAGTAACAAAATAATGTATTGAACTACACAAAGTGAGAGGTGGGAGAGAAAACAGGCATCTGTGGCTATTTTTTTCATTCTACCTTTCTTAACTTTCAAGCACTCACCTGCATGACCATGGAGTGGTGAGTGAGGCCGTGGCAGTGTAGGTGATGTGCTAGAGGTCACAATCAAGCTCTTGCGGTTACTTGTCCGACAACTGTAATGAAAACATAATGTCAGTTATAACAGGAGCACACCATGGGTCCAGAGAACCTGAATAGCTACTTATGAACAAAACAGTGACACCATTCCACAGGCTGAGAAGTATACTTTTTTTTTTTAAGATTTATTTATTTATGCATACAAGAACTGGGGTACAGGCCAAAGGTGTGTGGGGTAAGAGGAGTCACCAGAGACAGAGTGGGGAACAGAATAGGTAGACTGACTGAAATACACTGCTGAAGGAGCAGCGGGCGAGACAGGAGAGGTCTGCTACACCATGTGGGTAGCTCCCTGGCCGTCTGGGATTGAACTGTTTCTGCAGAGCCTGTGGATAGCAATAGCTTCATAGTGCTTACCCCCTTGCGCCACCAGGGAGGCCCCAGTATACCTCTTTTCTTTTTTTTTTCAGGTTTTTTTTTTTAAAAGACTTATTTATTTATACAAGGGCTGGGGTACAGGTCAGAGGCACAGAGAGGTGAGAGAATTCACCAGAGACAGAGATGGGAGCAGAACAGGCAGAAGGACCGAAATACATTGCTGAGGGGAGCAGCGGGTGAGTCAGGAGAGGTCTGCTGCAACATGTGGGAATCTCCCCGGCCCACTGGGAATCGAACAAGCGCTGCAGAGGCTGTGGACAGCTTCACAGCACTGCGCACAATCTGCTGTGCCACCGGGGAGGCCCCCCCAGTATACCTTTTTAAATTGAACTGACCAATTCAGTTAGGGTACCTAATGAAGACAACCATCACAAATTTGATTTAGAAAGCAAAAAATGCAAACCAAAAATTCTCACTCATCAAAAACTTGTTTTTGCCAAAACATGAAATTTATTTTAAATATCTAATAAACGTACTATTCTCATTTCACCATAAATTTAAGAACAGGCCTGCATTACTTCTAAGATGTAAACTTTCCATTCTATGGGACTTTTTCTTGTAGAAAACTAAATCATGATGAGAAGTCATTTTATTCGACAACTTCTACTCAAGTCTATGTCAATTTATTTGAATATCAGTCTATCTTATAATTTATAAGTTTACTTCAATGTTTTAAAAAGGCACCAAAAACAAAAAAGTCAGTCCTTTTTTAAAAGCATTAGG